CAAAAAACTATGGATGCCGGCCATGAAAGCCTACGACTTCACATATTCATACAGTGCTTTGTTAAACCATGGAACACATTGCCACAAGTTGGGGTGATGGCTACCAACTTGGATGACTTCCAACAGGGATTGGACAGTTTCATGGAGGATAGCGCCATCAATGGCTACTAGTCAGAGTGGCTGTGTAGCATCTCTGGCATTGAAGGCAATACACTTTTGTATATCAGTTGCTGGGGACTGTGAGGCAATGGGTGCAATTGCACATATGGCATACTGATGGGTTTCCCATGGGCTGCTGAGTAAACAGAATTTTGGACTAGGTTGGCCTTTGGTCTGATCCAGTGTGATCCTTCCAATGCTCTTAACCCCAGCCCAGAAATGATCCAGGTCAGTGTGGTTCTTAACCTGTGGTCCATGGACCCCCAGGGGAGCATGGTGTCCTCACAGGGGGTTTGCAAATGCTTAAAGGCTGCTCAGCCCACTTCTTCCTTGCAGCAGAGCAGCCACATGGCAGGAACCAAGGCGAAGGCTAGCTGGCTGGCTGACCAGTTTGCCTTTGCTCTTCCTTCTCTTCTTTGGCTCCTGTCATGCAATTCCAAGCAGGAGCCAGGCTGAGCAGCTAAGTGACAGTGTAGTGCAGGTGTAGGCAACCTTTCCCCTTTAAGGGCCGAGGGACTTCAGCTCCCAGAAGCCTCAGCCATGTTGGCCAATAGTCCCATGTTGGCCAATAGCTCCTGGGATTCTGGGAGCTGAAGTCCCTCGGCCCTTAAAGGGGAAAGGTTGCCTACCCCTGGTGTAGTGGCAACACAACAGGAACCATGGCAAAAGCTAGCTGGCAGGGTCTGTGCATTTCTGTTCAATCTGCTGCAAACTTCCCTTCCCCTCCGGCATGTTTAACAGGTGGGGTAATTGTTAATTCAGTGTTAAGTCATTATTATTGTTTATTATTGTTGTTGTTGTTGTTTTGTTGTTGTGGCTTTAAATCTTGAGTTAAGCCTTGGGGGACTGCAGCAACAAAAGATATTCAAAGAAGGCCCCTAGTAAAGAAAAGGTTAAAAAGCACTGGTCCAGGTTATCATTCTTTCACTTTCCCTCTGGAGTGAAATTGCATCAGCCAGAAGGTCTCCCTCTCATTTGCTGTAATCTGTCATGCCATTATAAATTATTGGTGTGGGACTATGGAAAGAAGCCCCTGTTTGGAGTCAGTAGGGAGCTCTGTAATTCCCAACAATGAGTCTTCAGCGGCTACTGTCGCCCGATCTTCTTTTCTCCCTGTCTTCACAGCATCAATTAAGGGGGTGGAGAGGAGGAGGAGGGAGACCGACAATAGCATGTGCATTTTTGTTACACCAGGCTTTCTCTCCCTTCATATCAAGTGGGGTCAACCGTCACTCCATTGTCTGGCCACCACTTGGCATCGCTCAAATGCCTCTACCGCCACTTTCTGCCTCAAAGCAACCAGCGATGCTGATGACATCTGACGGCACAATGAACGCCTCCACATTCAGCTGCCCTGAAAGCTTCCTAGGTGGTATCTTTACTTGCAGAGAAGAGTCAGGGAGGATCCAGCTCCACTCCATTTCAGGCACAGTGCTGATGCTGACCAGAGCCGAATGACCAGTAGTCCTGGGGGTCACAAACAATCCCCCAATAAATTGGAAGTTTATAACAACTTTCTGCATAGCCTGCGAGAACAACAGCCTCCTGGCTAGCTCATGTGGTGCCTGCTCCAATTCAGCAATAATAACTTGATCTAACTGTACAGATTAATGAAGGAATGCCAGGAGGAACAGTCTTTCTCCTTGCACCACTCAGATGTGCCGTGCTAGGTATGATGCTGAGTGTAGCATGACTGCCCGAAAATGGCAGCCCTGCATATACAGACGATTGAAATTGGGAAGATAATAATTTGTTCTATCATCCAGTGATTGGAAGATCTTATTCCTTTAGCTACGTGTAAACACACGTAGATGCTACTTTGGTCAAAGCATGAAAAGGCATGACTATTTAAAATATATATATAATGTTTGATAATGTAGAAGGCAACAGGGAAAGAAGAAAGCTGCATTACAGGTGGATGGACTCAATCAAGGAAATAAAATATAATAAAAATAAATAAAATTTATTTATATACCGCCCGGTGGCGGACCAAGTTGTTGTTGTGTGCCTTCAAATAGTTTCCAGCTTAACGGAGGCCCTATTACAGGGTTTTCCTGGTGAGTTTTATTCAGGGCGGGGGTGCCTTTGTCTTCCTCTGAGGCTGAGAGAGTGTGATTTGCCCAAGGTCACCCGGTGGGTTTCTGTGGCTGAGCGGGGAGGGATTCAAACCCTGGTCTCCAGAGTTGTAGTCCAATGCTCAAACCACTACACCACACCAGCTCTCTAAGGAAGCTATATCTGCCCTGATGACCCTGAGACACTTGGGGAAAGACATGGAGAAGGCCCCTTGGGCTGCTTTGGTCTGCAAGCTGCTGGTTCTCTCCCTTTCCCAAATTCAAAATTCAGAATGATCTTTTCAGATTAGAAAGCTGGGCCAAAGCTAACAAAATGAATTTCAACAGGAAGAACAGGCACTAAAAATGTAATGCACAGATATGGGTGATACCTGGCTTGATGGATGTGAAAAGGATGTAGGAATCTTAGTGGACCACCAAGCTGAACATGAGTCAGCAATGTGATTCAGCAGCTGAAAAAGCCAATGCGATTCTACACTGAATCAGTAGGAGTATAGTGTTTAGCTCAAGGGAAGTAATGGCCCCGCTCTATTCTGCTTCACCTGGAATAACACTGTGTCCAGTTCTGGGCACCACAATTCAAAAAGGATGTTGACAAGCAGGAGCATGTCCAGAGGAAGGTGACCAAAATGGTGAGGGATCTGGAAACTGCCAAGCCCTGTGAGGAGAGACTTAGGGAGCTGGGGTTGTTTATCCTGGAAATTGAAAGATTAAGGGATGACATGATAGCCCTGTTTAAATATTTGAAGGGATCATAGAGTTGGAAGAGACCACAAGGGCCATCCAGTCCAACCCCCTGCCATCATTGTTGTATTGAGGATGGAGCAAGCTTGTTTCCTGCTGCTGCAGAGAACAGGACCCAAAGAAATGGATTCAAACTACAGGAAAAGAGATTACACATTCAACATTAGGAAGAACTTCCTGACAGTAAGAGCTGTTCGACAGTAAAATGCGCTGCCTTGGAGGATGGTAGAGGCTCTTCCTTTGGAGGTCTTTAAACAGAAGCTGGGTGGCCATCTGTCATGGGGAGTGCTTTGATTGTGTCTTCCTGCATGGCAGAATGGAGTTGGGCTGGATGGTCCTTGTGGTTTCTTCCAACTAGGATTCTATTGATTCTAAACAGAGTTGATTGCTTCCACATGAGTGTTTGTGTACTACTCTAGTAAGATCTGCAGCACAAAGTCCCTGCGCTGGAGCAACTTATGATCACTTCCCTTGAGAACATTCCTTCTCTGTTTGAATGGCTTTATTGGCCTCCTAACTTGCTTTAGGAAATATTTAAGGAACGTGAGAAGCCTTGATTTAAAATCAGTCTTATGAGTTTATCACACGGGGAGCCCCGTGCAAAATCACTCTTTAAAGTAAAAAAAAAAACCCGTAAAAGCGGAAGCTTTTAATGAATGGGATTTCTCCCGTTCTGCCCTATGTGAAAAGTAAAAGCGCTGTTAACAGGGAGGTTAATCAGAACGAAAACCCCTCATTTTTACTTTCGTTTTTTTTCCGAAAGTAAAAAGAAGCGTAAATGAGGGGTTTTCGTTCAGATTAACCTCCTTTTAACATCAATTTAACAGTGACGTTGTGTGAAATCATGACCGCTTTTGCGGTTTTTTTCTAATTTAAAGCAGCGATTTTGCACGGGATTTTCCCCGTGTGGAAAACTCCATACTGATGTGATTTGAAAACTGCCTTGATTTAAGATCAGCTGCATCTGTATCCTGTACACTACATCTCAACCTAGGGAAGGGAAATCACAGTATGCAACTGATTTTTTGCCTTTTTTATTTTTTAGTGAGCTGGACAAGGGAGGGAATCATGGGGTCACAGTCAGTTTTGTCTCATGTTTGGTCTTGCCTCTTCTCTCTTTCTCTCCAGGTCACTCAGATGAGTCGTCCAGACTTGATACTGTTTCTGATGAAGTATCTCATGGCTCTCATAGTTGGAATCCCCTCCGTCTTCTGGGTTGGAAGTAAAAAGACCTGCTTTGAGTGGGCCAGTTTCTTCCATGGACGCAGGAAAAAAGAGTGAGTTCTGGTACCTAAATACTGGCAAGTCGACAGTGGAAGCCACTGCAGACTAACATTCTGGTTTGCTTTAAGCTGTTGCTTCTTCAGTCAAACAAAAGGAATCAAAATCCAGAATCCAGAATAGCAAATTGTGATACCTTTATCAACCAGAAGATGCAAAATTTCATTATGCTAGCTTTCAGAGCCCCCACTGGCTTCTTCATCAGTCAAAGATGGTAGGAAATCATACAGGGGAAAGAAAAATGTTGTTTGTCTCACAGGCCTGCTTCTTACTTGCTTGAAATGTTATGGACCAAAGGTCTGTACAAACAAAAAGTTCAGTCCATACCCCCACTGTGGCCATCAGGTGAATAGGAACAAAAAGGAGTAAAAAAATAATAATTAAAATGTCCTTTCTCTACACAGAGTTTCCCCCTTTGACATCCTGTTCCATCTGCTATGAGGCCAAAAGTCCCAATGTTAGCGGAGTGTGGTGATCGTTTTAGGAAGCCCCCATGCTATCCGGAGATAAACTCTAGAGTTCTAATGGTACAAAGTTGGAGGCAGTTTCCTTGGTAATACTCCACTTGATAATTATCTCTTTTCCCACACAAACACACACACTCTTGCTTTTTGCAATCTTTCTTCCTGAGAGCCCAAAACAAATACCTTGCTCTTCTCTTACGTTGGCTCTGAGTGTTTCTGCAGATGCACAGATACTGAGCAGAGAATTATTCTTTATGTATTAAAATACTGATATCCCTCTCTTCATTCAAGGATCTTGATATACTTAGATATAAGATGGGGTTTAAATGTTTTAATTAATAAATAAATACCAAATGACATTGGTAGCCCACCTAAGAGGCTTGAACATGCTTGGATCTGTGGACATAATCATTTGTAGCCATCTCTCAGATGTGGTGGCTAATGCTGTCTGAGACGCAAGCAGGACTTCTTGGTCTCCAATGGTAGTGGCACAATTTTACACCTTTCTGTAATCTGAGGCATGAGGAAACATGCATTCAAGTCATTTTCTTGGCATGTTTCTTCAGAGGGGGTTTGCCATTACCATCCTGAGGCTGAGAGAGGATGACTTGCTCAGGGTCACTTACTATTATTATATGCATTTCTGTCTTTCCTTTTTCTCACATTGGGGCTCAAAGCAACTTACAACAGTTTTAAAAAATGTTAAAAATGCACAAAAATGTTAAAAATGCACAAAAGTTAAAACATGATTCAACGATAAGAAAATTAAAACCAGCATTAAAACACACACACACTAAAACACACACATACACACCAGTACAACAATTAGCAAGATCCAGCACATTGTATAAGATGGGCCTTATATAATCATTCATCAAATGCCTGTTGGAATAGAATTTATTTACCTTATTTTCCTGCGTATAAGACTACTTTTTTACCTGTAAAATCTGTGGCTAAAGTGGGGGGGCGTCTTATACGCCGGATATAAGGATAATGAGGATAGAGGTGATAAAACTCTATATTTTGACTGGAAAAATGGGGGGGTCGTCTTATACGCGGGTCGTCTTATACGCCAGAAAATACGGTACTTGCTTATTTATTTATTTATATGCCACCTTTCTCCCAGGTGCTTCCAAAGGTGGCTTCCATAACAAATTAAAAATGTTTACCAAAGTTTTAAAACCAATTTAAAAACACCACATTAAAACACAATAAAACTGATTTGAAAAGTCTTTTTCATATGACTTTTCAAATCAGTTTTATAGTGTTTTAATGCGGTGATTTTAAATTGGTTTTAATACTTTGGTAAACTTTGGTAAAAATCTTTGCTTGTCTGTGAAAATAAAATAGGGAGGGTGCCAGTCTAATTTCTCTGGGAAAGGCGTTCCAGAGCCTGGGGGCAGCCACTGAGAAGGCTCTATCTTTTGTGTGTCTCATACAATGTTCCTGTGAGGGTTATGGGCTAGAGAGAAGGGCCTCCCCAGAAGATCTCAATAATAAATAAATAAATAAACAACTTTATTTTTATGTCTTGTCTTCTGCCGAGGCAATCAAGGCAGCTTACATTATGTAAAAACAATTTAAATAAAACATCCCTTATTATATTAAACAATAAAAACAGTAATAACAATTAAACCCCCCTTTTTAAAAAATACAATATTAAGATAAAAACATAAAAAAAAGCATGCCCAGGTTCATAAGTGAGAATATGGTCCTTCACATAACCTGAATATGAGCTGTGTAGGGCTTTGAGGGTCACCACTGGAATGCTGAATTGTGCCCGGAAATGAACCAGCCGCTAGTGGAGTTGTTGCAAAAAGGGAGTTTTGTTTTCCCTGTAGCAAGCCCCATTAGCAATCTGGTTGCAGGTCTTTGGGACCATTGAAATTTCCAAACGTTCTTCAAAGACAGCCTTATGTAGAGCACATTACAGGAGTCCAACAGGGATGTAACTAAGGTGTGTGCTTCCATGGCCAGATCTGGTGTCTTAAGGAACATGGGCTTCCAGGCTCAGAGTTGAATCTAGGACAGTGGTTCTTAACCTGGGTTCGATCAAACACCAGGGGTTCGGTGAGTCAGTCTCGTGGGTTCGGCGGAAGTCAAGACACACATCCGATTCATATGATTCGTGATGACATGCCCCGCTCGTCCATCATTGGCTGCAGGTGATAACCTGTATACGTTTTATATGCCCCACTATTTATATGCCCCATCCAACCAAACCAGCTTGCCCCGCCTCCACTGACAGAAGTGGCCCTCTGATTGGCCGTGTGGCGTGATTGACAGCGCGGCGGCCCACTCTCTTCACCGGATGGCGCTCACGGTCCGTATGTATTGGCGGTAGAAGGGTTCGGTGAATGCGTAAGAATCGTAAGAAGGGTTCGGTGAATGTGTATATGAAACTGGTGGGGGTCAGTACCTCCAACAAGGTTAAGAACCACTGATCTAGGAGAACACTCAAGCTATGTAACCCATCCAGCACAGGCGAAGTCCCTATTCCCTGATCTGCCTTTTGACCTATTTGGAGCACCTTTGTCTAGTCTGGATAAGTTTCTATTTGTTTGCCCTCATCCAGTCCATTATTAATTTACTTACAGCATTCCATATTTTCATACAGAAAGATGAGATTATATCCAAGCTATGCAGCAGAGCCAATGT